AGAACCAGTGAGTATTTCCTCACCTGGCCCTTCTTTGATTTCTGCGCATGAATGTTGGTGTGGTCTACTTCCTTATGTTGCCTCTATTTCGGTTTTTGGGTAGTAGGAGCATGAGGATTCTAGAACGAAATGGGTGTCAAACTCTTGACTGAAGGGCGAGTTTGGATACACATGTAAAGAGGTGAGGGTCGAATCTTAAGCACCATTTATTCCTCTCTGTTTGGACTGTTCGTGTACCTTAGGAAGATGTATTTTTCTGGTCATTCCTATTCATCAATTCTGTTCAGTCGTAATGTTTTGAATGGGTTGTGGGCAAGCTTTGATAATTAGCTTTGTGAACTTAGAAATAGTGTCCCTTGATTTTAGTTGGACTGCCCCTCATATAAGAAAAAGATAATAGGCATTATGTGACTGAATGCTCAAAACAGAATGTTGATAATCTGTTAGTCCAGGCTGTAGGGACATAAATATCTAAATTGTTGGACTGCCCATGTAGCTAGAAAAATAACTGGACAGCCTTGCATGTTTTAATTGTATGTAAACAGCATGCTGAAAATTATATAAATCATATCTAAATGGTATTGGTAGTGTTTTGTAAATGAATCATTCCAAAACATGTTTTAATTTGTAGTGTTTTGACTAGTATCTTGGCGTTATATACGCAATATGATTAGTACCTTGGCGTTATATACGCACCTTGATTATATGTTAGCATCTGTCTGGAAATTTAAATGTTGATGCGACTGTTTTGGAATTTTGTACCTAGTCTAATATTGTTGCTGTATTGGTTTTATTGCTACACTACTGGGATTCCTCTCACCCCTTCAGGGGCTGCATTTTTTAAATTGCAGGAAGATAAATAAATATTTGGTAAAGCATGTCATTGGAAGTATTTGGTTGATGCTCTGCTGTTTGAGGATTACTGCTGTTAGTTCTGTTTCTGTTGGATTAGATGCTGAAAGATTATATGCAATAAGATGTTATGAAGATTAGCAAACTTGTTTTGTGATTTGAATTCTGAAAATTTGATGAAGCATTTCTGAACTATGTAATTATGTTTATGTATAATAATATCCTGAGAATCATGCATGATGTTATTGCCGTTCTGATATCCAACTTATGTTATGTTTTACTTTCAATGCGTTGGACATGATTTAATTGAGTAATAATGTGAGATGTTTTGAAGAATTACATGATAGGATGTATATTCTATTTTGAAAAAGAAGCGTAGCATGATATGTATATGTTTGGTATTTAGTTTGCGAAAATAATTCTGCTGTATTTTAAAAATTCGGATTTTTGAACTGTTTTTGTGAGCACTTTGCGAGTTGTCGTTCTGGGGCTACAGACCTCCGATTGAGGTATATTTTATATGGATGTAAAGCCCCAGTTGTGTACTTTCAGATTATATAAACTTTACAATGAAATTCTGAAACCCCGATTTATTATGATTTTTACAAGTTCGGAGGTTTCTAGAAAAAATACAGAGTTTTTGAGTACTTTACGAGTTCTGTTTCATAGGGCTATTCTTCTCCGATTTACGTATAATTTATATGTACGGGAAGCCCCAGGTGTCTAGTTTCTATATTACAAAGAATATTTTTGTGGATCGTTGGGCTTGATTTTATACGAATTTTTCAAGACAGCAACGTCTGCCAGGTAAATCATATTTTCAGCAAGTTAAGAAATTTTGAAAGTGTACTCTGATTTTTGTAAGTGACTCGATTTCAATTATAATTTTTAATTAGCAACTGAAAATGAATTTTTAGTATTCAAGTAATGACATTAAGAACTCTAATCTGCTCAGCAAACAACTCTCTTGGATGCATACAAGGGAGGGTGTGACAGGATCGGTTTTCATTAACCAATCCGTAAACCGATCAAATCCAATTAAAATTTGCGGATTTTTTTTTTCATTTTTCAGTTTTTCGATTTTTGATTTATTTGGTGTAACACCCCAAATTCTAACAATTGATAATAGCATAAATAATTTCAATAATTTTTGTAAATAACAGCGAAAGTTCAAAATAATCAAATTTGGAAAGTGTTACCGCCGCACTTGTACTATGGACAGGTGCAAGGCTAAATTTATTACATTAAAAATAAAATCAAAGACTAAAGTTTAAATAAAGGAAATATGTCTTACGCATTTATTTAAATCTCATAAAATTTCTAAACTTAGAAACTAGCTAGAAATATCATATCCGAGTCGTGATCCTCGCTGCCCACAGCTAGCCCCATCCTTTGCAACATGCTTCACTGAAAATCTGCTCCCCCGTGAAGGATAATTGCAGTTAAACAAACACAAAAGTCAGCAAAGCTGGTAATCCAAATCCGATATACAAAAAAATAAATAAATAAATAAACAAAAAGAATGTAACTCATGATAATCCAATAAAATAATATAACTCAAAAATTCGAATCAAATGTCAACTTGTTATTAATTATATTAATATTTATTTAATCCATTTAGTCTATTTAGTGGGAAGAGAACCATGGTAGACCCGGGGAACCCTGCCAGTCTACCCTGTGACCCGGGAAACCCTGCCAGTCACAAACAAATCACTTTGGCCATAATCAATTCACATCTTCCTAGTGTGCACACCTCTTCCCAAAGTTGCTACTAGTATCCCGGGAAACCCTGCCAGACACCACTTTGGGAAGAACGGATATAATCTTTTTCACATCAGTTTCACATCGGAGGCATAAAGCCCAAAAATTGTGTTCATCACTTTGGGAGGTACCATCCCAAAGCTATCCTCCCACTATTATTATTATTATTATTTTTTTATACAGACATAACAAAATTTCCCAATTTATTTTAAATATATGTAATATCTATTTTCTGCAGCAAACAATTAATTTCCAATTTACCAAAACATATATATATATTAGTGCCTCAATTTATAAAGTAAAGCACAGAATATAAAAAAACAATTGAAACTAAATTCATATAACTAATGTATTTGAAATATGTTCATCACGTAAATCGAAAAGCAGAATTGCAATATATGTAACTTGAAAGAAACGATTCAGATGGTAGATGGTGAACATACATCTAATTCAATTGAAAGTGACGCACAAAAATCGAGAAAGGAGATTTGTTTGTTTGTTTTTGTTTTGTGAACTATATCATGTATAAAAGCAACGATAAGTATAATTCGAATTCAATTAAAGAATTGCACAGAAATCAAAAGAAATTTGCAACGACATGTAACTATGATATATGTTTAGGATCATAATTATCCTATCAAAATTCATATAAAATTAACCTAAGACTTCTAAGGATTAGGATTACACATATCAAATTTCACATAAAATAAATATAATCTAAAAATACCTAGGGATTAGAATTACCTGGTCTCCGTTTTCGCTAACTTTTAGAAGAAAAGAGTAATTTGGGGCAGAGAACCGGTTGATAAAAAATATAAAGATTGAAAATAATTAAAATAAACTTTTTGGAGTGAGAAGAGAAAGAGAGTAGTAGAGGAGAGTGAATTGGTTTGGTTAGGCTAGGTCTCTATTTATAGTTAAAGTTTAGGGCTTATACATTACTGACTCAATGCTGACTCATCATATCTAAACAATTTATGTTTGTTGAGTCATCATATCTAAACAATTTATGTTTGTCAAGTCATCATATCTAAACAATTTATGTTTGTTGAGTCATCATATCTAAACAATTTATATTTGTTGACTCATCCTAATCCAATCAAACATTACCAATCAAATAATCAAACATTAAAGCATAATGGTCAATCAAATAATAACAATTTATCACCCATTATTACTATTACTAATTTATAATTTATTACTATTATTAATTTATTGTATTATAAATTACTATTATTTTTCTGGGATATTACATTTGGTTACCGGTTTTTCGGTTCGGTCACCGCGGTTTGAATTGATTTTGATTGGTTGATGAACACCCCTATTTTTTTCATTAATAAATTTTATAAAATATTATTTAAAAAAGAATAAATATCTTTCTGGGTTCTCAATAAAAAATACGAAATTTATTTAAAGAGAAAGATATTCTCACTACCAAAATTTTTCACTACCAACTTACTACCTATCTAATCACTATTAGATTAGCATTTTCTCTCTCTTCAAAACTTTTTAACATTCTCTCTCTTTGATCTAATGGTGATGTGATGGATAGTAAGTTAGTAGTGAGAATTTTTTGGTAGTTAGAATATTCTCACTCTTATTTTAATACCTTAAAAAAATGTATCTATATCAGTCCTTATTTAGGAACTAATACGAGTCTTCTTTGAATTTCTGAAGAAACACAATTTCAAAAAAAATTAAAATTTCAAATAAACCACAAGTCAACTTTTTTCCCCTAAAAAATCAAAAAGAATTTCACATTTTTTATTGAGTATTGAGTATTGGGATATGATAATGTAACAACCAATTAATATTACTATCAATGTTACTCCCAATCAGTTTCACCGTTAGATCGATTATGTTGATCCAACAATTATATTTATTTTTATCTTTGTATGATTATGATTCCCCACATTTAATGTGAAAGCATTAAATATGAAAAATCATAACTATACAGAGTGAAAATAAATATAAAGTATTAAATATGAGGAATCATAACCATACAAAAATAAAAATAAATATAATCATTGAATCAATATAATTAATTTAACAGTAAAATTAATTGATAGTAACATGAATAATAATACTAGTTAGTTGTTACAATATCATTTCCTCTTGTATTTAGTCTAAAAAATATCCTTAATTGTTATAAAAAAAAAAAAAAATATCCTTAACAAATTCTTAATCAATTTAAGCAGCCAGCAACACAAAGTCCTTTCCACGTGGTTATTTTAGGAAACACAACCCAGGGCGCATTTCATTCCCTCGCAACTTCTTCGTTCAAAAAACTTCTTAAGCATCACCGACTCACCGACTCGTAGACCCTCTCTCACTCGTTCTTTCTGCACTGAGTTTCCGAGTTCGCACTCAGCGTCACCTTCGACGCCATGAGTCTAAGTTACGAGCAGAGGCTTCAGGTTGTAGCCGGAATTGTGATTGAAGACGACGCACGCGCCGGCGATGCGCCGCCTTGTTTGAAAGAGCTTGGGCTCAGGGCGACCCTCAAACCCTACCAGGTAGAAGGGGTTTCGTGGCTTATTCGGAGGTATAAACTCGGCGTCAACGTTATCCTTGGTGAGATTTTATCCTTTGAATCTTCGTTTCATTGTGTTTGGTTGCTCGGAAAGTCTCAGAATTTGAAAGAATAATTGGAATATCAGTTTTTTTTTTTTTTTTTTCAATTTTCTTTGGTAATAATCGAAATTCATTATGCTCGGTGAGATTATAGGTTTAATCTTCAGTTCGCTGAGTTTGGCTGCGTGGGAAGTCTGAGAATTTGAAGGAGATTTTGGGCTAATAAAAGACTTACCAATTTATTTTTTGGAATGATCCAAATTAATGAAGGAATCGTAAAAATATAAAATTTTGGAGTAAATGTGGAGTTTGAGTGGTACACGTGTGGTGTAATCAATTTTAGGTGAGGAAGAACTGTTATTCATGTATTGTCAATCTGAATATGTTGATATTTGTATACAATAATGCATTGTAACAATGAAGAAAGAATATTGGGTGTTGACAGATGCTGTGTTTTTATTTTTATTTTTCTGTTTTGGGGTTTGAGACTAGGTGCGTTTGATATTATTTCTGAAGGAACAATATTTAATTATGTTAGTGATCACAATGTTTTTATTATTTGCAGGGGATGAGGTATACTCTCTTGACTTCTGTATCAGAGCGTATGAAATCTGAAGGGCAAAATTTTGTTATCTAATTGGTATTACAATTATATGAAATCCACCTTTTAAAATGGTTATCTTACATATTTTTCTGTGATATTGTCATTGTTATGTAAAATCAATATATACCCAACAGAGGGGCAGTTCCATGCTTAATAGGTATCATTTCTTTTCCAGAAATTTCTGTTTACTGGCATAAAAGTTTCAGTGTCACGTTTTTGATGAATTAATTGAGGTTGAATTAAGTCAAGGCGTGTAAAAGTATTTGTTTTTTTTTTGTTGCTTTTGATGTGTATACTATATAGTTTTGTCACTATCATCGTCTTTCATTTTTTCATATGGAAAGAGCTGCATTATCTTAAAACGTTAACTGCTAAGCAGTGCACTTGCTTTTTGAATATTCCTTGAGTCTTAACCTTCTCTTTTTCAGCAGATGCAGAACTGAAAATGAGGTTCTTCACAGTCATATATTAGAATGCAAAATGTGATTCCAGATTTTTTATTTTGACGCATTTGTGTATGAATATGGACAGATGGGGCTGGGCAAGACTTTGCAAGCTATCTCCTTTTTAAGCTTTTTAAAAGTCCGCAGATTGTCACTTGGACCATTTTGTGAGTGAAGGAAACCTTGTTTGATTTGATAAATTCTTATTTTTGTTTCTTTTAATGTGTTTTCGGATAAATACTGATATCTTTTCCGACTTTTATTTTACTTTTTACAGTGGTTATATGTCCTTTAAGTGTTACCGATGGTTGGGTGTCAGAGATAGTCAAATTTACCCCTAAACTAGAAGTCTTCAAATATGTTGGTGATAAAGAATACAGGCGTAATCTACGTATGAAAATACATGAACATGTTACAGGGCAGTCATCAACTCTTAATGTGAGTGAATTATACTTTCATGAGCTCATTGAATCTGGATGGCTTTTTTTAAAGTGTGTTAGAAGTATTTTAAATAGGTTGATGAGTAAGAAGTCTCACATCGTTAAATTAGTGTTATGTAATTGTTATGGTTACTTGATATAAAAGTCTTCGGTATGCTATTGAAACACACAGATTCAAGCATTTACCTTTTGTTTCCATGTTATTCAACATAGTATTAGAGAAATGCCATCCTCCATGACCCCTGTCACTTTACCTTAATTACTTTTTCCGTCAACCTTCTCTCACTAGTTTCTTCTCTCACTAGTTTCTTCTCTTGCATCTCAAGCAACCATCGTCTCTTTGTCGTGACGTCCCTTCGGCAATGTTCCCAGCCTTTGGCTACCATCCCTACCTCCAGCCTCCATCCCTGACTATCTTCCAATGTGTCTCCAATGGGTGGTCACTAACGGCCGCTGCTGCCTGCAACTTTCCGACAGTCCTCCCATCATTCATTCCGCCATCTCATGGTGGTCTGATAAGATAAACCTCCTCCTATCGGAAAAGTGGGAGGGATCTGTATTTAATTTGTATCAGAAAGTATAGTCCAAGTAAGAAAACGTAACAGAGCTTAAACTCCCAGCAATGGAGACTCTCCACGTCCTCTACAAAGTGTAGACTAAGAATAAAACTTGGCTAAACGAAAACAAACACCCACCAGCCCTGTAAGAACTAACTGTAATAATTCTCTTTCCAAAACAACACACCCACGCCACTACTGAATAACTAACTTGCCACCTCAGCATCATTCCCTCCTTTTTTTTTCTTACTCTGGTATTGTATAATTGGGTTGGACCATTTGCTCTTGGGCTTGGGCTCAGAATTAACATTCCTATCATGGTCCTTTCTATCTAGGACTCCCCCAGACAAGGTTGTCAAGATCAAGATCTTACTAAAGATAGGAATGAGGTTGCAAGATCGTAAATCATAGGATCGACACGGAACTTACATTCTTATTTTTAATTATTAAAAATAATATTTGTGTATATAAAATAATATTTATGCTTACAAAATGAAAACAAAAAAATAAAGATAAAATTCAAAATTCAAACATAGCAGCTAAATTGTAAACAGAGATAGGATGAGATACTATATTAATATTTTTAGAAATGTTGAAATGGTGGGATCACATGATCCCACCAATTTTATGATCTTTCACTACAATCTTACATGATCCTACTCGTGTCTGATCATACTTGCGATTTGGAATGCTTTTGGGCAAAAGATAATAGGACATATGATCCTACAATCTAGATTGCCATTTTAACAATGCCCCTGGAAACCTCTTACTGATTTTTCGGATGTGTATTTGGTGTTTTCGGGTCGTGGGAACATTGTTTTGGCTTTTTCCAGCTAGTCCAGCTACTTTTCTTGCGACCGAAAATTTTTTCTGAGTAATGACCGGTAGATTTGGATAGTGTTGGTGAGGCAAATCCATCAATCCAAGACCTAGGTCTAGAAGCCTTCTAATGCGTCCTTGCAAAGACTTTCTATTCCTACACCACTGTTCATGCATATTTTCTTCTTGTTTGGTATGACCCATGGCCAATTCTGGTTCGTATGCCCCTCTGAAGAATGTTATAAGCCCGAGATACCCAGTTTTAGCAATTATGTTAATGCTCCACTTTGTATGAAGAAAGTTAGATGCTCACACACTTCTCTTGTCAGATTCGACCCTTCATGTCATTTTCATCTCTTTTCCAATATCTAAGTAGCATTGAGGGGGAGAAATTTGGAAGTTGCACTGTAACCCCGTCAGATTTTCCCAGTTGTTTCCTGGCCTCGTCGGATCGTCCAAGATGTTGTCTGGCCTAGTTGATCTTCGTCCCATATGCTGTTCTTAATTAATTTGGAGAAGTTTTAGTTCTTGTTATGTGTACTTGCTTGCCAGGATATTTTCGCTGATGGTTATTTTGGGGGGAATTTCTTTTTCCTTGGTTATGCAATATTTCAACTGGCTCTTTGAGTTGATTTTGCAAACATGTTTTATGCAATATTCTAGCAATTTCATCTCTCCAATGTCTCTAGCATCTTTGAGTTGAGTTTGCAAGCATGTTTTATGGAACCCAAATATATTATTTGGTTAATTTTTATTTGTAAGGGCTCATTTGTAAAAAACTTAAAGCTATAGTAAGCTTTTGCTTGAGGGGAAGTGTTATGAGTATTCTAAATAGGTTGATAAGAAGTCCCATATCGTTAAATTAGTGTTATGTTATTGTTATAGTCATTCTATATAATATAGTCTCCAGCATGCTATGGAAACAAGGAAACACACGGATTCAAATATTTTCCTTTTGTTTCCATGTTATTCAACAAAATGCAATGTTTCTGTTGTCAACTTGTCATATGAATGTCTATTGATATTTGTTGCGGTAGAACTTTTTTGCAGGTCTTGTTACCTTTTGATGTGCTGTTAACAACATATGACATTGCAATGATGGATCAGGATTTCCTTTCTCAGATACCATGGCAGTATGCAATCATTGATGAAGCTCAAAGACTTAAAAACCCGTCAAGTGTATGTGGAAGAGACTATTAGATGCCTATGGATTGTGTTCAACTAATAAATATGCTTCTGTATGTTGAATTTGTCTAATTACTTTCATTCTTTGAAGCAGTAGTCTTTACAAATTATATTCATGTTTTTTTGTTGAAACCAGGCAAACTTTGCCTATATGATAAATTTGTAAAAAAATTGAAAATGTGACAGAATTGAAGCAAAATCGAGAAATGTGATCAGTATTTATATAAATGTTTATGTTAGAATATTAGATATGATATGATTAGATTTGATTAGATATGATTGGATTCTGTCTTATCCGTAAATAGTCTGACTGTATTAGGATTAGGTTTGGGCCTTACACTTAAGCCCATTAGGGTCTCTATATATTGTAACTCCCTGACACAGATCAATACACAACGTATTCTTTTACATTTAACTTGGTATCAGAGCTCTTTCGTTCTAGGAACCCTCGCTTCCGCTCAGAAACCTTGTTTTTTGCTTTAAAAACCTAAGCCCACTGCTTAGGAGTCCTCTTTCTTGCCGTGCGTCCTTCCGGCAAGCCTTCTAGGGCTGTAAACAGCCTCTGAGTGATTTTTCCAAACGCGTCAGCACCTCCGACGGCCACCGGAACCACCGCCCGCCGGCAGAATCACTGTTCAGGCAACCAGAGACTTTTTCCGGCGACTTTTCCGACCAAACTTCACGCGATCAGGACCCTCTCTTCCCGGCGACCAGGTCTGTGGTGGTCCGGTCAGCACCGCATATCCCACGCGCCGTCACGCGCCACCTGTCTTCACTGCGCGTGGGCTTCACGCGCCCCCTTCTGCCGGCGCGTGAGCACTATTCTGGCGGCTTTTTCCGGCCGGTCTTGGACAGAGAAGCTCGCCTTCTCCTCCCCTTTCTGGATCTGTGATTGTTTCTCTGTGGGTCTGACCTTAGACGCGTGGTTCTTCTTGATTGGATATCGTTTGCCTTCGTTTACGGCTTTTATATTTTATCTTTAAATGGCAGCAACATCTCCTGATCTCTCGGAGGTTAACTCTCCTTCTATTGTTGCAAATATAGCTCAGTCAGACAAAGCATCATTTGGTTCAGGTTCGGACTGTGCTGCACTCCAAACCCCTCTCAGGAAGGCTTCTCCTCAGTCTCAGCCTTATACTGGTAATCCCGTTGCTTGTGTTTCTCATTCTACATCACTTGGCACTTGGATATTTGACTCCGGTGCTACCGATCATCTCTGTGGTAATAAGGAACTCTTTACATCTCTTACTTATTCTGATCATTTACCGTCTTTTACCCTTGCGGATGGAACCAAAGCCCCAGTTCGTGGGATTGGACAAGCTCGTCCGACCTCTACCTTGGCCCTGACATCTGTCTATTACATTCCTGGCATCCCTTATAACTTAATTTCTATTAGTAAGTTGATCCACTCCCTCACTTGCACCATTACTTTCTCTAACCATTCTGTTTCTGTGCAGGATCCGGGTACGGGGAAAATGATTGGAGTGGGTCGTGAGTCACAGGGGCTTTATTATCTGGATGTGCCTCGTCCTTCAGTAGCATGCTCTCTCACAGAATCTCCACAACTTATCCACAGTCGCCTTGGTCATCCAAGTCTTTCAAAGTTGCAGAAAATGGTTCCTCTTTTGTCCGGTCTTCAGTCTTTAGATTGTGTGTCATGTCAACAAGGGAAGCATACACGCTCCTCTTTTGCCAGTCGAGTCAATAAACGAGCTGATGCCCCTTTCTCTCTTGTTCATTCAGATATCTGGGGTCCAAGTCGTACCTTGTCTGTCTTAGGTTTTCGGTATTTCGTTACCTTTATTGATGATTTTTCCCGTTGCACTTGGACCTATTTAATGAAAAATCGTTCTGAGTTATTTTCCATTTATAAAAAGTTTTCTACTGAGATCTATACTCAATTTGGTGTTTCTATTCGTATTCTACGTAGTGATAATGCTAAGGAATATGTTTCTATTGATTTTTCTAATTTCTTGGCCACACAAGGTACTTTACATCAAACTACTTGTCCTCACACTCCACAACATAATGGGGTGGCTGAACGTAAAAACAGACATCTCATTGAAACTGCCCGTACCCTTCTTATTCATATGCAGGTTCCCCTTCACTTCTGGGCAGATGCTGTACTCATCTCTTGTTTTCTCATCAATCGCATGCCTTCATCTGTGCTCCACAATGACATTCCTCATAATCTATTGCTTCCAGATGTTCCTCTTTATCCTCTAACTCCACATGTCTTTGGTTGTACTTGTTTTGTTCATGATCTCACTCCTGGTAAGGATAAGTTAACATCCAAAGTCTTTCAGTGTATCTTTCTTGGTTATTCTCGTCTTCAAAAGGGTTATCGTTGTTATTCTCCCGACCTTAAGCGTTACTTAGTTTCCGCTGATGTCACTTTTCTTGATCAACAACCCTTTAATTCTATCCCATCTCAGATGTCACAGGTTGATCATGTACTTCCTGTCCCTTTTCTTGACTTGTCTTTGCCAGTTGCAGGTGCTTCTATTCCAGATGAGCAACCTATTGCTTCTATACCTGAGGACCGTCCACTTCTCACCTATCAGCGTCGCAAAACTGTGCCTCCTGTCGACTCGACTCTTGCTGACTCATCGCCCACTGCTATTGCTTCTTCCCCTCCGGATCCTTCATCAGAGACTCTTCCCATTGCTCAAAGAAAAGGTACACGTACTACTCGTAACCCTTATCCTCTTTATACCTTTTTGAGTTATGACTGTCTTTCTTCACCTCATTTCACCTTTGTTTCTAGTCTTTCTTCTATTTCTATTCCTAAGACCACAGGTGAAGCACTTTCCCATCCAGGGTGGCGCCAAGCAATGCTTGATGAGATGACTGCACTTCATTCCAATGGCACTTGGGACCTTGTTTCTGCTCCTCCAGAGAAGTCTATAGTTGGTTGTCGCTGGGTTTTTACTGTGAAAGTTGGACCTGATGGCCATATTGATCGTCTCAAGGCACGTTTAGTTGCCAAGGGTTTTACTCAAATCTTTGGCCTTGATTATAGCGATACATTTTCTCCGGTCGCTAAGATGGCGTCAGTCCGCCTCTTTCTTGCCCTTGCTGCTGTTCGTCACTGGCCACTCCTTCAACTTGCTATCAAAAATGCCTTTCTTCATGGTGATTTACAAGAAGTTTACATGGAGCAACCACCTGGTTTTGTTGCTCAGGGGGAGTCTGGAAAGGTGTGTCGTCTTCGGAAATCCTTATATGGTCTCAAGCAGTCTCCTCGAGCATGGTTCAGTCGCTTCAGTTCTGCTGTTCAGGCGTTTGGCTTAATCCGCAGTAAAGTTGACCATTCTGTGTTTTATAGGATTACATCTCCTGATAAGTGTATTTATTTGTTAGTCTATGTTGACGACATCATTCTCACCGGAAGTGATCAAGACGGAATTCGTCAGTTAAAACAGCATTTGTTTAGTACATTTCAAACAAAGGACCTTGGGAAGCTGCGTTACTTCTTGGGAATTGAGGTGGCGCAATCAAGACAGGGCATTTCTATCTGTCAAAGGAAATATGCCTTGGATATCCTAGAAGAAACTGGTATGTTGGGGAGTAAACCAGTTGATACACCTATGGATCCTAATGTCAAGTTATTACCCGGACAGGGGGAGCCGTTATCTGATCCTGGACGTTATCGGAGGCTAATTGGGAAGCTCAATTATCTTACTGTGACTAGGCCATATATTTCTTTCGCTGTCAGTACGGCCAGTCAGTTCCTTGATTCCCCTTGTGATTCACATTGGGATGCTGCTGTGAGGATCCTCCGATACATCATAGGAGCACCAGGAAAAGGTTTGTTGTATTCGGATCAGGGAAATACAGAAATTTGTGGTTACTCAGATGCCGATTGGGCAGGATCACCCTCGGACAGACGCTCTACTTCTGGTTATTGTGTCTTCTTCGGAGGAAACTTAATCTCATGGAAAAGCAAGAAACAACTTGTTGTTTCCCGATCTAGTGCAGAAGTTGAGTATCGTGCAATGGCAAATACTACCTGTGAGTTGATCTGGTTAAAGCAGTTGATTCAGGGGCTTCATCTTTGTGAACAGAAACAACCCATGACACTCATCTGTGATAACCAAGCTGCGCTACATATATCCTCTAATCCTGTTTTTCATGAGAGGACCAAACATATAGAGATTGATTGTCACTTCTTTCGGGAAAAGATTCAGTCAGGAGAAATCAAGACAGCTTTTGTCAACTCGTCTAATCAACTAGCAGATGTTTTCACTAAAGCTCTTAGAGGTCCTCGGGTTGAATACATTTGTAACAAGCTTGGTGCTCATAATATATACGCACCAGCTTGAGGGGGAGTGTTAAATATTAGATATGATATGATTAGATTTGATTAGATATGATTGGATTCTGTCTTATCCGTAAATAGTCTGACTGTATTCTGACTGTATTAGGATTAGGTTTGGATTAGGTTTGGGCCTTACACTTAAGCCCATTAGGGTCTCTATATATTGTAACTCCCTGACACAGATCAATACACAACGTATTCTTTTACGTTTAACTGTTTATATAATATATTTCATGTTATCAGCTGTTTTGGCTTAGTAGATGTAAACCATGAGTTTCAGACAGTTCAAAGGTGAAAAATTAAATACAATTAATCATACACCCTAAGATTATGGTTTCTGGTTGTTAAAGTTCTGAAACTTTAACAGGTTTTATTTAGTATTCTCAAAGATCGCTATATCATGCCAAGACGGTTGTTGATGACTGGTACACCTATTCAAAACAATCTTTCGGAACTGTGGGCTTTGCTGTATTTTTGCATGCCTTCTGTCTTTGGTACACTGGATGAGTTCCTTTCTACATTCAAGGACATCAGCGATCTTACAGCAGGTCATTATTATCTTTTTGTTCTTGATTTAGCATCACTGGATTGTAAATTGTTTTCGTTCTTCTAGAAGCTTGCTAAACAATTATAGAATCTGAGTGTTCTACTGTTGACCTTGATCCGTTTGTTGTGCAGTAATGTAAATGGTTTAAAGGCTTTGGGAAATGTTAAAATTTCCTTGTGTTCTTGCATTCTTTCTGGAAAAATATTAGAAGAGCCTGGCCATAGGATGTATGATTTGTCACCAATTGAGTACCTTGTGATGATGCAAAAGTAAATTTATTAGAAGGAAACAGAATTAACTTCTTGTTTTTATACTTTTTCTAATTGCTGCAGTTTTGTTTCTAAACAGTTAATGATGCTCCAAAGGTAAAGGAGCGACTAAAAATTCTGAGAAGTGTATTGGGAGTCTTTATGCTTCGACGTACCAAAGCAAAGCTTATGGAGTGCGGAAATTTAGTGCTGCCACCTCTCACTGAGTCAACTGTGTATGTTCTATCTTGTTCTACTTAGATGCTACCTTGAACATTTTTATTGCAAGTGCCGGTGAAGCTTTGATTTTTGATAACTTAAAGATGCAAAGTTGTTGTATTGAATATTGAAATCTATCCCATGACAGGTTAGTACCCCTTGTCAGCCTGCAAAAAAAGGTCTACTTGTCAATATTGAGGAAGGAACTTCCTAAGTTACTTGCACTATCCTCTGGAACTTCAAATCATCAGTCACTACAGAATATTGTTAGTCAAGCTCTTTTTTCTTTTTTTGGTTTAGGAAGTTCTCTGATTTATTTAGTCCTCTTTTCCTTTATTTATTTATTTACTTAATTATTTTCCTCTCTGATTGTTTTTTCTCCTCTTTTTTATCTATTTTTATTTTTCTTTCGTATTTTTTTCTCTTATCTATCTTTATTAGTGATATAGTTCACTTAGCTTTAGCTTTCTGTACTTCTGTTTGTATTTGATCGCTACTAATCTCTGTTTTCTAGTCTGTTAGTTTGTTAGGATGTTTGTTATTTTGTTGACTCAGATTTGAGTCTTTTTCTTGCTCTATAAATAGAGCCTTCATGTATTAGTTTCGTTATCTGAATATACAGTAAATTCAATGGCTATCTCTCAGATCTCTTCTCTCTCTCTCTCTCTCTTTGTTCTTACCAAACTCTGATATGGTATCAGAGCCTTTTAGATAACCAAAATGGTATGGTTAAATGTAAAAGAATACGTTGTGTATTGATCTGTGTCAGGGAGTTACAATATATAGAGACCCTAATGGGCTTAAGTGTAAGGCCCAAACCTAATCCAAACCTAATCCTAATACAATCAGAATACAGTCAGACTATTTACGAATAAGACAGAATCCAATCATATCTAATCAAATCTAATCATATCATATCTAATATTCTAACACTCCCCCTCAAGCTGGTGCGTATATATTATGAGCACCAAGCTTGTTACAAATGTATTCAACCCGAGGACCTCTAAGAGCTTTAGTGAAAACATCTGCTAGTTGATTAGACGAGTTGACAAAAGCTGTCTTGATTTCTCCTGACTGAATCTTTTCCCGAATGAAGTGACAATCAATCTCTATATGTTTGGTCCTCTCATGAAAAACAGGATTAGAGGATATATGTAGCGCAGCTTGATTATCACAGATGAGTGTCATGGGTTGTTTCTGTTCACAAAGATGAAGCTCCTGAATCAACTGCTTTAACCAGATCAACTCACAGGTAGTATTTGCCATTGCACGATACTCAGCTTCTGCACTAGATCGGGAAACAACAGGTTGTTTCTTGCTTTTCCATGAGATTAAGTTTCCACCGAAGAAGACACAATAACCAGAAGTAGAGCGTCTGTCCGAGGGTGATCCTGCCCAATCGGCATCTGAGTAACCACAAATTTCTGTATTTCCCTGATCCGAATACAACAAACCTTTTCCTGGTGCTCCTTTGATGTATCAGAGGATCCTCACAGCAGCATCCCAATGTGAATCACAAGGGGAATCAAGGAACTAACTGGCCGTACTGACAGCGAAAGAAATATCTGGCCTAGTCACAGTAAGATAATTGAGCTTCCCAATTAGCCTCCGATAACGTCCAGGATCAGATAACGGCTCCCCCTGTCCGGGTAATTAACTTGACATTAGGATCCATAGGTGTATACTGGTTTACTCCCCAACATACCAGTTTCTTCTAGGATATCCAAGGCATATTTCCTTTGACAGATAGAAATGCCCTGTCTTGATTGCGCCACCTCAATTCCCAAGAAGTAACGCAACTTCTCTGGAGGAGCAGAAACAAGGTCCCAAGTGCCATTGGTATGAAGTGCGGTCATCTCATCAAGCATTGCTTGGCGCCACCCTGGATGGGAAAGTGCTTCACCTGTGGTCTTAGGAATAGAAATAGAAGAAAGACTAGAAACAAAGGTGAAATGAGGTGAAAAAAGACGGTCATAACTCAAAAAGGTATAAAGAGGATAAGGGTTACGAGTAGTACGTGTACCTTTTCTTTGAGCAATGGGAAGAGTCTCTGATGAAGGATCCGGAGGGGAAGAAGCAATAGCAGTGGGCGATGAGTCAGCAAGAGTCGAGTCGACAGGAGGCACAGTTTTGCGACGCTGATAGGTGAGAAGTGGACGGTCCTCAGGTATAGAAGCAATAGGTTGCTCATCTGGAATAGAAGCACCTGCAGCTGGCAAAGACAAGTCAAGAAAAGGGACAGGAAGTACATGATCAACCTGTGACATCTGAGATGGGATAGAATTAAAGGGTTGTTGATCAAGAAAAGTGACATCAGCGGAAACTAAGTAACGCTTAAGGTCGGGAGAATAACAACGATAACCCTTTTGAAGACGAGAATAACCAAGAAAGATACACTGAAAGGCTTTGGATGTTAACTTATCCTTACCAGGAGTGAGATCATGAACAAAACAAGTACAACCAAAGACATGTGGAGTTAGAGGATAAAGAGGAACATCTGGAAGCAATAGATTATGAGGAATGTCATTGTGGAGCACAGATGAAGGCATGCGATTGATGAGAAAACAAGAGATGAGTACAACATCTGCCCAGAAGTGAAGAGGAACCTGCATATGAATAAGAAGGGTACGGGCAGTTTCAATGAGATGTCTGTTTTTACGTTCAGCCACCCCATTTTGTTGTGGAGTGTGAGGACAAGTAGTTTGATGTAAAGTACCTTGTGTGGCCAAGAAATTAGAAAAATCAATAGAAACATATTCCTTAGCATTATCACTACGTAGAATACGAATAGAAACACCAAATCAATCAGAACGATTTTTCATTAAATATGTCCAAGTGCAACGGGAAAAATCATCAATAAAGGTAACGAAATACCGAAAACCTAAGACAGACAAGGTACGACTTGGACCCCAGATATCTGAATGAACAAGAGAGAAAGGGGCATCAGCTCGTTTATTGACTCGACTGGCAAAAGAGGAGCGTGTATGCTTCCCTTGTTGACATGACACACAATCTAAAGACTGAAGACCGGACAAAAGAGGAACCATTTTCTGCAACTTTGAAAGACTTGGATGACCAAGGCTACTGTGGATAAGTTGTGGAGATTCTGTGAGAGAGCATGCTACTGAAGGACGAGGCACATCCAGATAATAAAGCCCCCGTGACTCACGACCCACTCCAATCATTTTCCCCGTACCCGGATCCTGCACAGAAACAGAATGGTTAGAGAAAGTAATGGTGCAAGTGAGGGAGTGGATCAACTTACTAATAGAAATTAAGTTATAAGGGATGCCAGGAATGTAATAGACAGATGTCAGGGCCAAGGTAGAGGTCGGACGAGCTTGTCCAATCCCACGAACTGGGGCTTTGGTTCCATCCGCAAGGGTAAAAGACGATAAATGATCAGAATAAGTAAGAGATGTAAAGAGTTCCTTATTACCACAGAGATGATCGGTAGCACCGGAGTCAAATATCCAAGTGCCAAGTGATGTAGAATGAGAAACACAAGCAACGGGATTACCAGTATAAGGCTGAGACTGAGGAGAAGCCTTCCTGAGAGGGGTTTGGAGTGCAGCACAGTCCGCACCTGAACCAAATGATACTTTGTCTGACTGAGCTATATTTGCAACAATAGAAGGAGAGTTAACCTCCGAGAGATCACGAGATGTTGCTGCCATTTAAAGATAAAATATAAAGGCCGTAAACGAAGGCAAACGATATCCAATCAAGAAGAACCACGCGTCTAATGTCAGACCCACAGAGAAACAATCACAGATCCAGAAAGGGGAGGAGAAGGCGAGCTTCTCTGTCCAAGACCGGCCGGAAAAAGCCGCCGGAATAGTGCTCACGCGCCGGCAGAAGGTGGCGCGTGAAGCCCACGCGCAATGAAGACAGGTGGCGCGTGACAGCGCGTGGGAGATGCGTTGTTGACCGGACCACCACAGACCTGGTCGCCGGGAAGAGAGGGTCCTGATCGCGTGAAGTTTGGTCGGAAAAGTCGCCGGAAAAAGTCTCCGGATGCCTGAACAGTGATTCTGATGGCGGGCGGTGGTTCCGGTGGCCGTCGGAGGTGCTGACGCGTTTGGAAAAATCACTCAAAGGCTGTTTACAGCCCTAGAAGGCTTGCCGGAAGGACGCACGGCAAGAAAGAGGACTCCTAAGCAGTGGGCTTAGGTTTTTAAAGCAAAAAACAAGGTTTCTGAGCGGAAGCGAGGGTTCCTAGAACGAAAGAGCTCTGATACCAAGTTAAATGTAAAAGAATACGTTGTGTATTGATCTGTGTCAGGGAGTTACAATATATATAGACCCTAATGGGCTTAAGTGTAAGGCCCAAACCTAATCCTAATACAGTCAGAATACAGTCAGACTATTTACGTATAAGACAGAATCCAATCATATCTAATCAAATCTAATCATATCATATCTAATATTCTAACACCAATATATGTCTCCATCTGAATGTCGGATGATTTGCTCAATTCCATAAACTGAGAGATGATGAAATAGAGCTGCTGAACATCATTAGTGTAGAGGTTTTTTGCTTCCTCCCACACTTCAGTGCAAGTTTGAAATGAATAAAAGATATCCAAGACAATCGGATCAATGGATTGCCAGAGGATACTCAGAAGCTGGTTGTCAATCTTTTCCCAATCAGACTTGTCCTCCTTAGGGACTTCAGTAGACTTAGTTGTGAGATGGTTCCCATATCCTTGTCCAAAGAACCAAACTCGAACAGAGGTGGCCCAGTTCTTGTAATTAACAGATCCCTTCAATTTTGAAGAGGTAATGGACCCAATATTGGTAGAGATGATATTGGGAGAATTTCTCAAAGGAGGAGATGGAGACTTGACCTCCGAATGAATTGGAGGGTTTGCTGCCATAGTATCAAATCACAAAGATACAAACCGAATAAAGAGAAACGAACCTGATCACCAATCAAGAAGAGGTGCGCACAAAAAGTCAGACCCACAAAGAACCAACCACAGATCCAGAAAGAGGAGGAGAAGACGAGCTTCTCTGTCCAAGACCGGCCGGAAAAATCCGCCGGAATAGTGCTCACGCGCCGGCAGAAGGTGGCGCGTGAAGCCCACGCGCAGAGAAGACTGGAGGCGCGTGAGAGCGCGTGACAACTTCGATGGTGGCCGGACTTCCACAGAGCAGGTCGCCGGGAGGAGAGGGTTCTGTTCGCGTTCGTTCCAGACTGAAAACTCGCCGGAAAAGTACTCCGGCAGCCTGAACAGTGGCTGACGGTGGCTGATGGTGCTCCGGTGACTGTTTGGGGATGTGGACACGTGCAGAAGATGCCTGGAGAGGACTTGCAGCCCTTGATGTCTTACCGGAAGGACGCACGGCAAAGAAAAGATGACTCCTAAGCAGTGGGCTTAGGTTTTAAAGCGAAGAACAAGATTTCTAAGCGGAAGCGAGGGTTCCCAGAACGAAATAGCTCTGGTACCAAGTTAAATGTAAAAGAATACGTTGTGTATTGATCTGTGTCAGGGAGTTACAATATATAGAGACCCTAATGGGCTTAAGTGTAAGGCCCAAACCTAATCTAAACCTAATCCTAATACAGTCAGAATACAGTCAGACTATTTACGGATAAGACAGAATCCAATCATATCTAATCAAATCCAATCATATCATATCTAATATTCTAACAGGTATTATCACTTTGTCTATCAGTATTTTCACGAAATGGAATGAGAGAGAGCAGTAATGGAGTGATAATATTTTGTGCATTTTTATAAAAGGGTAATTTAGTCAAATGCAATTACAATTTCCTATGATTGTGGCTATTTAATAGCTTTCTTAACCTTTGTGCGATTACCTTAAAACAATTACAAATTCTTTTATTAATTAAAAATAATCATTGATATCAACTATTAAATTTGGTTTAAGTATAGCACTCTTTTGTAGAATAGTAGTTAAGTTCTTAATCTTCTATGAAGTGTATTCTATTGAATTTGACTCGAGCTTGATTGTGTAATCTTGTGAATCTTATGAATAGGTTCCATTAATCCATTCTATTTCTGTATTGCATTTTGGATTTAAATCTGTTCCCATTTGATTTTCTGTCCTATATCAACTTTATATTGTGCTTTTCACATTTTTTTCTTTCACCTTTAAATTAACGGGATATATTATTCGCCATTTTAGGTGTTACAACTTAGAAAAGCATGCAGCCATCCTTATCTCTTTCCAGGTATCGAGCCCGAACCTTACGAAGAAGGGGAACATCTGGTTCTGGTAACTACTACTCTTATTTTTATACCTGATAACATGGGATTTATCCTTCCCGGGGCTTTTACATTCACATACTTTGGTCTCACCACACTACAACAAATGCATAAAAAATGGCCCCACAACATTTAAACCGAGGTTCATATTCACATACTCTATGATCTCCCTGCTACAAATGCATTGAAGTTATGACACTGAGGCTTTGGCAAAATTGGTGAGATAAGTTGTCACAATAAACCAAACGAATGGATAAAACATGTTAAGGGTACGCTATGCTTTAACAACAATATCAATATTGTCTTTATTCAAACTAGTTAAGGTCTGCAGTGGATAAACCAAATAAAAAGTAAGAAAAGATTAAGGGGACAATATAGTAAATATAATTATATAAAATGCTTTCACCATAAGTAATTAGTTACTTGTAGTTCACCCAGAGTGAAGTGTATGAGTTGTAAAGAACCAATTCAACGCAAAAGCTTAAGCTGTTGGGTGAGGTTACATTAATGATTTTATATATCTCAACACGCCCCCTCACACGAGAGCCCACTGAGCTTGAAGGGTGGACAATGCACAGGCCCACCTACCTGTGCGAAGAAAGAAATTTCACTAGAAAGAAAGTGGGTGGCGGTGAGGTCGAACCTGGTACACCGAGGCTCTGATACCATGTAAAGAACCAATTCAACCCAAAAGCTTAAGCTGTTGGATGAGGTTACATTAATGATTTTATATATCTCAACATGAGTCATATTGCAGACTTGCAGTCCAAGTATTAGTATAAAAAATAGAGGTATTGGGACAACTTGTGTTACAACTTACAAGTTTACAACCATTCTGAGTAATTACCTAAATATTGTGTTCTTCCTGTCTTACATCTGCATTGTTTTCTCTGTATCTCTTTAGAACTGTCTTTGTTTTTCAACATGCAAGCAAAAAAGTACCATCCATGTTGTGCCCTTGGCTAGCGCTAGATTCTTTGAAAAAAAAAATTGAGAATAAGAAAAAGGAAATCCAGCTACCTTACAGAAGGTAAATCATTCTATCTATCTTTCTAGGTCCATTGGGTAAGGCCTGATGTGTTGTGATCACAGTTGTTGTGTAGGAAGCTGTGTGATTTTTGTAGTGTAATAATAACCTGGTGGTTTAGAATCTGGTTCATTTCAACCTGGTTGGTGTCCTGGTGGCTCACATTCTGAAAAGTGGTTTCTTGGCTTGAGGCATAGCTATTTGGTCCAGTGTGCCTGCTTGGATTTTGGGTTCTTCATTATTAGAAACTCAGACAGTAGACAATCAGCGCACTACTTAATTTCTGTTACGTTGGGTGTTTGAGAAGTTGCACATTAAGGGTAGAGGGGTAGGGTCAGTTTATGCATTGAAACTATTTTGAGTAATTACTAAAATGTTGTCATCTCTCTTTGTCTTGGATCTCCTTTGTTTTCCCTTTCATTCTCTCTTTAAAACAATTGTTTTTCAACAATTCATTTCTTCTCAAACTCTCATTTTTATTCTTATAAGTTATAACGAGTCAATTTCTGAAAGAGACAAAGTAATTGTTCTCACAGAAACCTATTTACATAAATACGCACTTTGCTCTAGCACCATAATTCTTGCCTGCCTCAAGTGTTATCGCTTTTTGCTCTATCAGGCCAGTGGAAAACTGCTGATTCTGGACCAACTTCTTCAGAAGCTACGTTATTCTGGACACCGTGTTCTTCTTTTTGCTCAGATGACCCATACACTTGACATTTTGCAGGTAAGACTTTTTCTACCAATGCCTTGTATTAGTCAAGTGAATATATTGATAAAATACATTTTTACTCTAATACAGGATTTTCTGGAGTTACGAAAGTATTCTTATGAGCGTCTTGATGGATCAATTAGGGCTGAGGAGCGCTTTGCTGCAATTAGAAGTTTCAGCAGCTCATCAGCTAATCTAGGTTTGAATTCTGAAGCTGATCAAAATGGATCTTTTGTTTTTTTAATCTCAACAAGAGCTGGGGGAGTTGGCTTGAATCTTGTGGCTGCTGATACTGTGAGTTTTGTCAAGCTTTCAACCTTCTTTTTCAAACTGGAACCTGACTACTGATTCATTTTCTTGTCTTGTTTTTTTATAATTAAATTTTGGTATATAAAACTGATTATAAGGTTTCCATCTTTTCATTTGTCATCTTTTTGGGTTGCAATTTTCTCTTGCCTTTGAATGTTGCAGTTCATGGTGTCTGGGGGTGTTGATTCTGGATAGCTCTTGATTGCATATATTTGAGGTTCATATAGAGATGAATAATTTCCTATTTGTTGATTTTAATCAACATCATCTTTAACCTAAATTAGTTGAGATCGGCAGTTGATGAACCCAAATAAAAAGTAAGAAAAGATTAAGAGAAAAAATAAATAAATAAGAGAAAATAAACAAATAAATAATAGGAAGGTTATATTTACAACTTATTTTTCCTTACAATCTCTTACAACCCTTTTTTTTATCCTTGGATTAAAATCAAATCAATGGCTCTCACATTAATGTAATTTTGTTATCGTTGATTTGATTTTGATCCAAGGTTAAAAAAGTGGTTGTAAGCAAAAATAGGTTATAAATATAATATCTCCCAATAAAGAAATATAAAAATAAAATAATATAGAAAAAAAGAACTAAAAAGGCCACTTGAAATGACTTGCAAAATGGAAGGAAAATATATTATTGAATTGTAATTACAACTGTACAAAGGAAACTCTATTTAAAGAGACTAACTGAACTATTGGGCTAAGCCTAAAGAAAATTCTAGAATACAATAAATAATAAATAAAATAATAATTATTTATAACACTTCTCCTCAAGCTAAGAAACAGATATTTATCATTCCCAACTTGCTAGTAAGTTTTTGAAATCTATTTGAGGGAAGTCTCTTTGTCAAAATATAAGCTAATTGACACCTAGAGGGAATGTATTGAGTGACGATCAACCCACTATCAAGTTTCTCTATAATGAAATGGCGGTCGACTTCAATATACTTAGTCCAATTATGTTGAACTGGATTATGCGCTATACAAATGGCAGACTTGTTATCACATAGCAGCTTCATGAGTCCTTCACATCTTATTTTGAGATTATCAAGTATAATTTTTAACCATAATAGTTCACAAATGCTTTGAGCCATAGCTCGAAATTCAGTCTTTGCATTTGACCTGGCAACCACATCCTGTTTCTTACTCCTCCACGTCACTAAGTTACCACAAAGAAACATACAATAACCAGTGGTAGATCAATGACCAGTCACAGATCCAGCATAATGGACATCAGTATAAATTTCTTAAGAGAGATTGGCATCATGCCGGAATAACAATCCTTTAACAGGAGTGGCTTTAAGATACTGAAGAATTCTCTACACTGCCTGCATGTGTTTTTCTTTTTGGATTATGTATAAATTGACTGACAATACTAACAGCATAAGCTAGGTCTGGTTTAGTATGAGTTAGATATATCAGTCTCCAAACTAGCTGTTGGTATTGTCCTTTATCAACTGGAGGACTCTCCTCTTCATAACCCATCTTGTTATTCCGCTTAATAGGAGTAATAGAGGGTTTATACCCAAGTTTTCCTGCTTCTTTAAGAAGATCAAGGATATATTTTCTCGGGCTAATAAAAATTTCTTCCTTTGAATAAGCTACTTTTATCTCTAGGAAATATCTCAATTTTTCAAGGTCTTTAACTTCAAACTTAGAGGCTAGTCGTGCTTGTAGAATATGTCTTTCTGCAATATCATCACCTGTTACAATAATATCATCAACATACACAAGGAGCACAGTGAGTTTCCCATCTTGGGAGTGCTTAAAGAAAAGTGTGTGATCTTCTTGGCTCTGTTTGTATCCTTAGGTTATCATAACTTTAGTAAATCTCTCAAATCTGGCACGAGGAGACTGCTTCAATCCATACAATGCCTTTTTTTACCTACAAATTTTATTTTCATCATCCAAAGAGTCAAAGCCAGGTGGGATTTCAATGTAGATCTCTTCTTCTAACTCATCATTAAGGAAAACATTCTTCACATCAAATTGATTTATATCTCAATTGTAATGGGTAGCAAGGGACAACAAGGCTTTCACAGTATTCATCTTTGTAATTGGAGCAAAAGTTTCTTCATAATCAATGCCATAGGTCTGATTGTAATCCTTGGCGACTAACCGAGCCTTATATTTCTCTAGAGTACCATTAGAATTATACTTTGGCATAAACCCATATGCACCTGACTACTTTTCTATGGGCAATGGGTAAGTCATCAGAGGCACTAATATCAGGTTCAGAAACAAGAGGTTCAGGACTTACTAGTGGTTCAAACGATTGAGGTTGCTAGTGAAGCAGTGTGGGTTGTTTTCTCCTATAATATACCAAATTAGGTGTCACAATTTTCTGTATTTTCGGTGTATTGGATGAATCAGACACAGGAGGATCAGAAACAAGAGGAAGAGATGTAGGAGTAGACACGAAAGATCCAGACTCAAAGAAGGGAGGGGATGGATCTGTTGAGGAACTGCTAGAACTGCTTTCCCCCTGAAGATGAGGACTTGGGAAAAAGGACTCAGATTCATAAAAGGTCACATCCATAGAAACAAATTTTTTTTGTACTGGCATGATGATAACACTTGTATTTATTTAAATGCATTTTTCAATTCATCATAGGAAGGGTCATAAGAAGAACATATAGAGTTTACCTCACTTTCTTCATCTTCCTCTTGTGCCATTAAGCAAAGGTTTGCTTCCTCTTCACTTGATGAGGAACTTGAGCTTGAAGTATCTTCATCCCATGCCATGTATGCCTTTTTGCTCTTTTTCTTACTTTTGCTTGATTTTTTGTCACTTTAGTTTTTTGTTTGAAGTGTAGGACATTCACTTCTATAATAGCCTTGCTTTCCACATTCAAAGCATGTAACTTGAGCATTAGGGGTGTGGGAATCTCCTTTTAATCTTCCTTGGGCAACAAGGTGCTTTGATCTTTGAAGGTTCTTTTTTTTGAAGAATTTACCATACTTTTTGATGAAAAGTTCCATTTCGTCCATGTCATTGTCTTCCTCATTAGATTCATTATTTTCAACAATCTTAGAGGTTGTGGACTTGAGAGCAACACTTTTGTTCTTCTTCTTGGCTTGATCTCTTAGGCATGCCTTTTCATTTAAAATTCATATTCTTGAAGCTTTCCAAAAAGTGTAGCAATTTGCATTGTATCAAAATCTTTGGATTCATAGATGGCCGAAACTTTGACATCCCATCTTTGGTCATGCATCTTAGAATTTTGTTGATCAATTGCTCATCATTGTAATGTACACCTAAGGCATTCAATCTTGTAATGATGTGAGTAAAACATTTTTGCAAGTCATAAACACTTCCATCATCAAGCATTTCAAAAGTTTCAAATTCTCTAGTGAGTGCATTTTGTTTTGACCTTTTAACCTCATTTGTACCTTTATATGTGGTCTCTAACACTTTCCACATTTCCTTAGTGGTTTTACAAGAAGAGATCCTAAAGTATTCATCTCTCCCTAGAGCATTTGTAATTAGATCTTTAGCCTTAGCATTGCATTGAGCATTTCTAAGTTCAACTTCACTAAAGTCTCTAACCCTTTTTGAAACCGTTTGACCTTGTTCATTTGTTGTGGTAGGGATTTCATATCCACTTTCCAATGCTGTCCAAACTCTTAAATCTATGGATTCTAAGTAGATTTGCATCCTAGACTTCCAATAAAGATAATCCGTTCCATTAAAGAAAGGTGGCCTATTGGTTGAACTACCTTCTTAAGGCAAATTATTGTTAAAACTAGCCATATTATGGATCAATTCAGAGGCAATATGTAGCAGATCAAATTTGAAAGGGAAAATAGACTTTCAATGTTTATGCTCACCTTTTTCAAGAAATCATGCAAGAACGAATTTAAACATAAAAGTAATGATCATAAACCTTAAAACAGATTCAATATGACATATATCAAGAATCAAAACGAAATTCAATTGATAGAAATCAAAAGAGATAGGGTAAGGAAGAATCACACCGCGATATATCCTGGTTCGCCCTCTAACCACTTGAGAGCTACGTCCAGACTGATGTCGATTGTTTTCACTATCATCAAGCTTTCAACAAGTGCTTGAAGAAACTTTTTTACAATTGAAATTTTACAAGTCTATGATCTCACTTTGATCACAACTTGATCACACTTAACCTAAGCCCTTAGGATCACTCCAATTGTCTCTCCAACAAATACAACAATTGACTCTTGCTTAACAGATGTAGAGTCACCTCTCTACGTTCAAACAAAAGAGAGAACAGAAAAAGATTGAGAAACAAGAGAGTAATTGAGATTTTTCTCAAGGATGTGCAAAAGTAAGCCAACATGGGTTCAATTATGAGATTTCTTTGATTCTGAGTTTTTCAGTGTTAAATCTTATGTTCAGAACCCTAATCATTTGTATTTATAGGTGGTCAATAAGTTATTAGTCGTTTATCGCCGTTTGACATCTAAAAATTTGAATTTCTTCGAGTTTAAGTCACTTATAACAGATAGTATTTGATTACTTTCCGGGGAGTATTCGAATAATTCAAACCTAGAAAGTATTCGATTACTGTTCATCAAGTATTAGATTACTTTGCAAAAAGTATTAGATCACTTTTATGCAGAAATCAGTTTCATGCTGGTTTTCAATTTTTAATGCATCCTAATGATTTCAGTGACTTCTAAATGTTTCTAAGTGACTTCTAACATATATATGATCATGTTTCACACTTGCATAACAACTCTTGATGTGTGTGAACATTGTATGCTTGATCAAAATGAATGTGTCACCTATATGGGTTTATGGTTTATTTTTGCACATCCCAAGATAAAACTCAATCTTATAAGTTCTATGACTTAGATAAGTCTATATAAACAGTATAGAGCTATGTCTTCATTGGTCATCAATTCTTTGTCTATTTAGACTTATGTAGAGTCTTCTTGTACTCCTTTTAGCTTTAAGCTTTGACTTTGCCAATTTGAGTCTTTTCTTCAACT